AAGCAGATGTTTTGAGAATGATGATGGCAACATATGTACGAATGTGCTGGACACAATTGATATATGTATGGATTGGGATAAGAGTTGTATGAGCCCCTAATAAAATGATTAAAAAAAGAAAAGAAAAACATTGTCAATTGTACATTGATAACATCAATAATTTATCTGATGGCATAGAATTTAAGATACTGTTGATATGAGGAGTTTATGAGAGTATAAGACTAACTCTTCATAGCAGTGGTTCTAAACCTTCTTAATGCCACAATCCTTTAATACAGTTTCTTATGTTGTGATGACCTCCAACCATAAAATTATTTTCATTGCTACTTCATAACTATAATTTTGCTACTGTTATGAATTGTTATGTAAATATCATATACAGGATAGATTTTCATTGTTACAAATTGAACATAATTAAAGCATAGTGATTAATCACAAAATATTATGTAATTACATATTGTGGAATATTTCTAATGACAAATAAATGAAATTTTGTCTTGAAGCATGGTGTAGCATGGATAACAATCTTCACGCCGGATACTCATATGTGGGCGTATCCACATGTGGGTGGACTCACCTGGAGACGGAGTGGTATCTCAGTTCCTAAGACCATCAGAAATATGTGTTTTCCGATGGTCTTAGGCGACCCCTGTGAAAGGGGTGGAGACTCCCAGGTTGAGCACTGCTGCTTTATAGGAATGGAAAACCTCATCTTCCTCCCTCAGAGCAGCTTATGGCTTTGAACCACTGACTTGTGGTTAGCCGCCCAACATGTAACTCACTACACCACCAGGGTTCCAAGGAGGGGGTGGTGGTATGGGGCCAGTGCCGTGACATTCCTCTGTAATGGCCACCATCATGCTCACAGTTGTGCTGATAACTGGCATTGTGGAGGCTGGAGTCCACCCAGAGGCAGTTTGGAAAAGACCCGGTGCTTTACTTCTCAAGCAACCAGTCACTGAAAGCTCTCTCCGCAGCTGTGGGGCACTGCCTCCGTTGCCTAGAGCTGGCATAAAAGAAAGACCACAGTGGTTGGCTTTAGCAAACAGAACATCCCCTGACCCCTGTCTTCTGGCTGGTCTCCCACTAGAGTTCCAGAGGGGCATGTGACCCAGGTCTGGTTCGTCAGAGACCCTGTGATGGCTTCAGGATAGGCAGTGAGTGCCAGCCTGGGGCCTTTGCTGGAACTGTCAAGGCAGAGGTCCTCCTTGTCCACTGAGATGACAGATGGGGGTGCTATGCTGCTGAGGGGTATCCGCCAACAATGGTGAGAGCACCCCTGCATGCCTGAACCCAACCGTGCCTGAAGCCATTCATCTTTGCCATTAAACGAGAAAAATGATCCCTTTTGTGCTTAGTTTGGAGTGCTGTGGGAAGCATCATCCCCAATCTTCCCAGTGCCCCAGGAGTGGCCAATGCCAAGAGCCATGGGTGCCACCTGAGCTGACCTCAGTCCACCCAGAGCCTTGAACAGAAGACCCTGGGGTCCTTGTGGACATTCTGCAGTGAGCATTGCCCTGCTCCCAGCAGACCTCCCACCATCTCCCCAGGCTCTCGGGCAGCAAGCTGCTCAGTGACCCCAGGACCCCAACCCCTCCTTACCTCCCCCATTGGGACCCATTGAAGGAAGCCTCCTCCACTCTCCACGCACTTGGACTCAGGCAGGCTCAGTCTCAATCCTAGCCCCATCTGTCCCTGTGTGACCCTGGTTTCCCTCTGCAGCGTGTGAGGAATGGCTCCCATGATCACAGGTCCACATTTGTGTGCCTAGCAAGGCCCATGGGGCCGGGCACTGAGGGGGCAGTGCCAGCAGCACCAGCTCTTTCCTTTCACAGTCTGTGCCCTCCACCGCCCTGCTCCCTGCGGACTTCAAATGAGCTCCAGCCCAGGAGCTGGAAGATGCCCACTCAGCCCCCTGCCATGGGTGCTGCCCCCTCTTCTGGGGGACTGCACTCTCCAAGGGTGCTAATGGCCTCCCTGCCTGGTGCCAGTACATGTCCCAGCCCCCGCCTGCACAGCTTTCACCCCGTAGTCTTGGCATCCCTTGATCTCTGTAGGTGTGTGTGTGTTAGCAGGGAGGGACAGGGAGCAGAGAGGGCTGTGGGTGCAGCTGTCAGCTCTGGGGTCTTTGATCATGGGCCATCACAGCTGGGTGGTTCTGAACAGGTCACTCTCCCTCTCTGAGCCTCTGTTAACATCTCTTACAGGTGACTCCATTATTTAATAACTGCTTTGTGCTTCACTGCATACAGGGAGGTGGCTGTTCACAGTGGGTGCCTAATGGTTGGTTTTGTTTTCATCTGGATTTGCTCTTCTTTCCCCACATTCAGTCTGCAGCCTGCCCTCCCCCGGGCTCCCACTGGCACTGCTGGTCCCTCTGTACACCGGGACCCTCCCACCTCCTTCCTTCCATCCATCTGGGTCTCAGGCTGACCTGCGGTCGGTCGCTCCAGCTGCCAGCTCTGGGCTCACCACGAGCCCCAGCCTCTTGACAGCCCTGTCTACACTCACTCGCTCCACATCCTCGCCACCTCCCTTTCCCTCCTTAACCCTGGCAGCCGCCCCAGCTCTCCACTAAACTGATCTGGCAAATGTCACCTTGTTGTGAAATGCCAGGGGGACTCCTCAGGCCTTATCTGCCTCCTTGACACTGTTGGCAACTTCCGCAAACACTTATGCCCTGCCCTGGCTTCCCCGGGCTTGAGTGCCTGGGTGCCATCCGCACAGCCCTTCAGTCTCTCTGCCCCGGCCCCGCCCGCGGCTCTCCTTGCTGCTGGTACCCTGGCTGTCCTCATCCCACAGAGGACCCACATTTATTCTGAAAAAATAGTAAGATTGAAAAAATTTCATGTTGCCTGTATTCAAGACCCAGATTTTACATGAAAAAAAACCCCCCAAAACCCAACACTTTCTAGGTGCTCTGGATAAGCACAGGAGTGGCCATCTTGCCCCGCTTGCCTGCCTGTGGTGCCCCCAGGCAGCTCTGGGCTCCTAGAGCTTGCTCATTGTCTCCATGGAAACCAAAGATGGCCTGAGAGGGCTTCGTGGTTCAGGAGAGGAGGGAGAGCGGATCTCACTGTGGAAGTGAAAAGCATGGTGTTTCATGTCACCCAGGCTTCCGTGGGAAGTCAACCACATGGAACCTCCGCTCTCACTCCTCAGGTTACTGCCTGGGCCCTGGGCCCCCCGCCCCGGCTCCTGGGGGCTGGGTGACGAGCACGGGTGCTGACTGCCCCAGATTGTCCCCAACCCCTTCCCCGCTGGTACCTTCAGCTGTTGACTGAATGTGTCTCGGTGCAAAGGGCCCTCCTGTCAGTCAAGCAACCCACACCAAGTGTCAGGCATGGTTCCAGGTCTGTTAAGATGGCAAGGAAGCAGCATCCACACAGCCCTGCACCCAGCCCTTCCTTCCCCACCTGTTCTGGCTGCCGGGGGATCAGCCTTCTCCCTCAAAGCCTAAACCTGAATGGAGACCGAGAGACCATGTTCTCAAAGGTCCCGTTGAAAATGTCCCAGATGCAAGGAGGGGGTCTGGGGCCAGAGAGCCCGGAAGGACCTGGGGGTGCATAGTTGGCCCTGGACTGCTTCTGCTCCCCTGCCCCACACCATCCCCCCTTGGAGCAGAAGCAGCGGCAGTCCCTCTGGGAAGGCCCTGGAGGTGGCAGGGCACCACCCGCCTCTCCAGAGCTCCGGCTACCAAGAAGGAAGGCTCCCACGAGCACTAGCTGGAGTGGTGCTAAGTGCCAGCCTGTGCCGGCCGATGCGTGTCACTGAGGCCTGGCTCCCGTCGTCCGTGGGTCTATCGAGGTCTCCATCCCATCTTCCAGTCCCTCTGAACTTCATGCATAAAGTGAAGTGACGCTGGAGGTGAACAGGTGTTAATGAAAGCAACACTGGTGGGTAGGTGCCCAGGAAAAGTGCTTTCCTTCCTCGGGGCACCCCGGACTTGACACTGGGTGCCATCTCCGCCACGTCATTTCCTCTCGCTTCCGTCTCCTGCCCCACTACCCCAACCCCTCCTCGGGGTTCCCTCCTCCTGCCCACCCTGCTTAGTGGCTGGAAGCCTCTTTCTACAACAGAAAGTACCGCGTCCCAGCTTCCAACCGCTCCACAGGCAGATAGTCCCTACGGGCTTCCCTCTCCAGCCCCCCATGCTCCCTAAGCAGAAGCTGGGCACTCTCTGCCTGCCCCTTCCTCCACCCACCACCCTCTAGCCCTCCCCATCCTTCCCTCAGGTCCAGCACAGGGACCCCCCTCCCTTTTCCTTCCTCTCCCGGGGCCCAGCATGAGGACCTCCAAGACATCAGCCCTGCCAGCCCAGGCCTCCTCCTGCTAAGCCAGTTACCAGGGAGACCATCCCTACTCAGAGCGACTCGAGAGTCAGTGGAGCCTCGCCCCTGGGGCTGCGGAGGCTTGGACCCCTTCTGGTAGCATGCAGCCACATCTTTCTTTCTCCTGTGCAGCGGCTGGCGGGTGTGAACCACTGACTTCTTAGCTAGCAGCTTCATCGGTGCATGCCTCGAGTTCCACCAGGCCGGACACCTGAGCAAGCCCACACAAGCCACGCTGCCGGGGAAAGGTTTATTGCGGTGATAGACGTGAACAGGGGCCGGTGTGGCCAGCACCGGTGTGCAATGCTGATGGGGGCAGGGGAGAGGGGTGATAAAGGGATGAGGCATGAGGTGAGGCAGGGCATAGGAGACCCCAGGTTTGGGCCAGGAACCAGGGTTAGGGTCACCTTGACCAACTCTACCCAGAAGTCTTGGGGGAAGGCTCCAGAACTGAAGTACGCGTCCTTCAACTGGGCAGGGCCAGGCTGCCCCGGGGGCAGGGCTCAAACGTGGGAGAAGGCGTGGCTCTTGCAAAGGGGCTTGTCTTTCTTGGAGTAGAAGGTCTTCCCTTCCAGGTTGATCTGACATATCTGGGGTCAGAGAAAGCCCAGTCACGTGGGGTGGGGAGGGTGGGGGGCGCAGGGGAGGCCCTTACCTGGGACTCCCCCCCAGGGCCAGCCGTTCAAGGGTGGTGGAGGGGCGACACAGAACAGAGGGCAGCGCGGAACAAGTCTGCGGGTGGCCAGTGGGTGGGGGCGCGGGGGGGCGCTTACCGCGCAGACGAAGCAGGTGTCGTGCCAGCTGAAACCCAGAGCCTCCAGGAAACGGTCCCCGGCGTCGATCTTGAAATCACAACCTCGACATTGCGTGCCAAACATCTTCTCATAGTCTGAGCAGGCGCGGAAAGAGGAGGGGGCCGCTCAGTCCCAGGCCAAGGCTCTGCCCCCGGCCCGCCCCGGGCCCCACCCCGCACCTCGCTCGCAGTAGGGCGCCCCCTCCTCCATGTAGAAGGCCCGGTTCCTGATGGGCGTCTTGCAGGCGGCGCAGGTGAAGCAGTGGACATGCCAGGTCATCTTCAGGGCGTGCATGATCTCCTGGAGAGGGATGGGGTTGAGGGTGAGAGTCCCTCAGAGGCTTGGCCCCTCCCCTCCGGCGCAGAGGGACACAACAAAGCCTCTTCTCTCACATGACCGCAAACCCATGACGCCATCCCTGACACCACCCAAGGGCTGACCACCACACCCCAACCTCTCGGTGTCCAGAACGCAGCTCGCTCTCCCCAGCCCTCTACTGACTCATACCCCATGCCAGGTACCCCAGGAAACCCCTGGGTCGGCCTTCAAGATACATCCGACTCACTCTGTGCACGCTCCAAGCTGGCCTCCCAGTTTCCACCTCTGCCCTGAGACTGCTACCCCTCATCACAGTGAGCCTCCACACCGGAGCCAGCCCAGCCCACCTGCTCTGCACAAAACCCTGTGTGGGGTCCACACGTACAAACCAAAGCCCTGGCAGGGCCTGCTCCCTGTTCTGTTCCTTCCCCCTCCCTGCACAGCCAGCCCTGAGGCCTCCTGCCGACCCTCGAGCACACTGGGTGCGCACCCGCTGTTCCCTTTGCCCAGAATGCCCTTTAGGCAGCGCTCTCTGCCAAGCTCAGCCCTCGTGTCCTGCACATCTCTGATCGAATGTGGCCACCGTGACCATGCTGGTCTTCCTCCAGTGTGCTCCCCCAACCGCACCCTATCCTGTGCTCTTTCCCTTTGCACCACACTTGTCCTGTGCACCCACTCACAGCCAGGTCACTGCCATAAGCTCTGGACTGTTAACTGCCAAGGCAGCTGTTCAAACCCACCAGGTGCTCCTCGAGTGGAAGACGAGGCTTTCCGCTCTCCTAAAGATTGGCAGCCTGTCAGAATTCCAAACAAGTTCCACTCTGTCCTCCAGGGTCACAGAGTCAGAAACAACCCGAAGGCGGTGGAGTGGTTTTTGTTTAGCTTTACTGCTACCTCTCCCCCAGCCCACCCACTCCAGGCCCCAATACACAGTCCAAGAGTAATCACCATCAGGTGGATTCTGACGCATGGCAGCTCCACACGTGTATCAGAGTACTGGGCTCCAAGAATGTCCAAGGCTGTGACCTCTGGGGGGATTCCAACTACGACCCGGGGGTTGGGGGGTGGGCAGTATGCGGGACACAATCAGCTAGACCTTGCTTCTTTTTTGGGTAACTTAGCCAACCGCTTTATCTCAAGACTGATTCTTCTCCTCGTGAACGGCAGAATGCTTCGAAGAAAGGCCTCATGTTTGAAGCCAGGGGCTCCAGGCCCACCTGCCTGCAAAGAAGCCTGGTGGGAGAAGGGAGTGTGGGGACTACATCCTGGGGGGGGAAGCATCGGACTGCCAGGGGGCAGTGCTGACTGCCTCGATCAGGAATGCTCCCATGGCTCCTGTGGTCATCTCTGTATTAAGGGGAAATCTTCTGATTGTCAACCCTCTCACTGCCATCGAGTCAATAACCCACAGCGACCCACCACAGGACAGGACAGAGCTGTCCCTGTGGGTTTCCGAGACTATAATTCATTACGGGAGTAGAAAGCTCCATCTTTCTCCCGAGGAGAGATTAGTGGTTTCAAACTGCTGACCTTGTGGGTCACAGCCCAATGTGTAACCACTACGCCACCAGGGCTCCTGATTATTAAATGGGACCACTGATTAAAACACGGCACACTACAGGTCCGCCAAGACCCGGGGCTGGGCTGTACTTCGCCCTCAAGGGCCTGCCTGTGGCCCCCTCTGTCTGGGAGATTCCAACAGACGGCAAGCACACAGGTCCCAGGAGAGCCAGGCACCACGGGTTTCGGGCTGTGATCTCATGGAAGCAGATGACCAGGCCTTCCTTCTTCGGTGCAGCCTCTGGGTAACAGCCCGCCCAGGCTTCGGTGACCTCTACAGCAGCACATCCCACACTGGCGTGACTGACACCCCCAGTTTGGGGAAGCTCAAAGAATGCGATGTGCCCAGGTCACGCAATCAACAACAGACACAGGTTTTGAACCAGGCTTCAAAGCTGGCTCTCCCTGAGACCCTAGCTGGGTTGCCACTTTCAAAAGACAAGGAGTCAAGAAGGATGAGGTGGCAGAGGACTCCAGTAGGAGTGGGTCCACCGGGACTGAAGCCCAGACACGGGCCCGGCGAGTGTGGCCTTGGAGGTGGCTCTCAGAACCTGGGGATCAGTCAGCAATGTCCACGTCACCCCTCAATCCCAAACACCCAACCCACGAGATCGATCCCGAATCAACATGACCCTACAGGGCAGGGAAACGGCCCCTGTGGGTTTCCCAGACTGCACCTCTTTGCGGGAGTAGAAAGCCTAGTCTTTCTCCTGCAGTTTACCTCAAGAAAACCAACCACTCACTGCCACGGAGTCCATGCCGACTCACGGCAACCCTCCTGGACAGGGCAGAACTGTCCCTGTGAATCTCCCAGACGGTATCTTTTCATGAGAAGGCCATCTTTCTCCCTAGGAGCGGCTTGTGGTTTCAAACTGCTGACCTTGCCATGAGCAACTCCATGTGTAACCACTATGCCACCAGGAGTCCTTTAACAGTCCACAATCTGTCTGCGTTCCCAGCCCACTGCCTGGGTCCCCGTCCCAGCAGCCCCCAGTCCTCTCTCCATCCCGTCCTCCCCCCTCCCCAGAGGAAGCCCTCAGTCAGGCAAACAGCCTCCAGCTTATCTTGCATTGTCCCCGCCTTCTCCCTTTGACACAGTGATCCCCTGGCCTGGGGCACTCTCCCCTCATCCTCTAAGCTCCTTCCTTGCTTCTCCAGCCCACCTCCGCTTCTCCAGCCCACCTCCGAGGCTACTGCCACCCACCCGTTCATCAGATATCTTCTGAGCACCTACGTTCTACGGGCCCCAGTGCCGGCTGCTGGGGCCAGAGCCATGGACAAAGCAGACAGACCCGCCCTGCTGGTGTGCCCTTGGGGATGAGATGGAGGGCAAAGGAAAAACAAACCCTGGGCATCAGGCTGGGTGGGAGGGCGGGTATCTGGGGGGATTTTCCTCAGCAAGTGTGACCTTTACATCTCCAGCCACAAGAATAGTCAACAGGATGCTAGAGTGTTCCAGATGGACAGGCTGTGTGGTGGGCAGCAGGAGCGCACAGAACGCAGATGACCCCAGATGTCCCGTCCCCCTCCCCAAGTGCATGGAACAAGTCTGCCTGGCTAGGTTCTGTATTGAGCCTGCGGGCAGGGCAGGTCAGGCCAGGCCAGGCTCAGGAGCCGGTGTCTGGGGAAATTCCCAAAGATGGCCCACAGTGACAGTTTCTGTCAGTGCCCCTGTCTGACTGAAGTCAGACTCCCGCCCTGGGAGAACAGTCTGTCAGGCCCTGGAGGCCGTGCAAGAGGGAAGGTTGAGGCCCACGGGCCTGTGTGGAAACTCTGGGCTGGGGACAAGAGCAGAGCTGCCACCCACAGCTTGCTCCAAGACCCGGCATGCACTGCCTCCTGGTAGGGGTTGGGGCAAGGACCCTGCCCTCTGGGGAACAGGGGTAGGTGGTTGTCTAAGGAGCTGGTCTAATGCAAGTAGGGCACCCCAGTGAACAGCAGGGGGCAACCTTGGGCACCCAGCTCAAGACAGGTCCTGGCATCTAGCCCATTCCTCCAGACCAGTGCATCAGGGTGTGTGCAGGCTGGCGGGGGAATGACCTGACCGTGTGCTTGGGCACATTGCCTCATCGTGGAGATGGGCACGATAACCAAACTGACTTCACAGTCTGACTGTGAGGCCGAATGCCCACACACAGTGAAGGGCTCGTAAACATCAGCTGTCATGACATGGACCAACCTGGGGTCATAACCATTGGGCCCTTCCGCAGACTCAACAGAACTCTCACATTCTGCTGCCACAGGGTCGCTGCTCAGTGTGGACATGTGACCAGAACCAGGTGCTGCCCAAGGGGCTAGGAGCAGAAGGGGCGGGTGGTAGCATCCTCAAAACCGAGCCTCCACGGCCTTCCACCCCTCTCCTGCCCACAGTTCTGGCTGAGGTTCCGGAGTGGTAAGTGAGCATGTGCCACGCTAGTCCCAGGCTCCCCACTGCTGGCTGTTCGCTGTGAGAAATAACCAGTGACCCCTTGCTGCTGGGTCCACAAGGAGGGAGCTCTCAATGATGGTGACCCTGCAGTAGTATGCCACCAGGTCTTTCTTCTGAGCACCTCCGGGTGAACTTGAAGAACCTCCCCCTTTTTCCGTTAGCACCCCAGAACCATATTCTTTGTGAGTTTTGTCCTACCTGCAGTAAAGGTGCCCCTAACTAGTGGAACATCACCCTGGGGGGGGGGGGGGCTCTGATGCATGGGCAGCTCTGCTGCTGCTTCTCCTAGGAAAAGCCCCTGGCACCCTTCGAGGTTCCCCCACCCCCACCCCCAGTATTAACTCCTGGGGATGTGTCCTCAGCGTGGGACACAGTGCTGGGCCGTGTCCACATTTAATCATGAGAACGGAGATGGCCCCATTCCGTTCCTCGCAGCTTTTGAAAGGCGTTGACTAACTCCCCGCCAGGCTTCCCTGCAGGAAACCCGATGAGGCTATGCTTTGTGTTCAGCAGCAGTGGGAAGGCCAGGATTCTGAAATATGAGCGCGTGAGGCTGCATTTCTCGCTCTGCCACTCACGGCCGAGGCCCCGATCGCGTATCGAGTCACTGGCCGGAGTCTCTGTGTTCTCACGTGTTCGATGCAGCCCCGCCTCCCCCCTCCGGCCCGCCAGGGGACACCTGCCTGCTGATGTTCAACAGGTTTCAGTGGAGTCCTGGCCATGGGGTTGGACCAACAGCGTTTCCTTCCTTTGTGCAAGGTGGCCAGGGCCCAACTCAGTGGCTGCTAGTCTTGTACAGACCCCTCCTCCTTCCTTTGCCCCCACCCTATGATGGAGGCCAGAGAGCTAAAAAGCCTGGGTCTCCCCGCTTCCCTCGCAGTCTAGGGTGATCATCCGATGCAGTTCCAGACAATGAAGTCCAGATGGACGCTCCGGACCTTCCTCCTAGAGTCTGAAAACAACCCTGCTTAGAGAATCCACTTGCTCCTTTTCCCTTTGCATCTTGCCTTGAGCAAGGGCGTTAAGCTTGAGGCCTGAGCTGCCCCCGTACACAAGCACCCTGAGAACAAAGGTCTCTGTGCTCAGGATTCCAGAGCGACGATGTGAAAAGGCTGGGCCCCGGACGGCAGCCCTGGACCTCCTGCGATTAAAATACGCAAGTCATCTGCTGACAGTGTCTGTGGTGGGATTTCTGTCACTGCAGCTGAGCACACACTCTAACGACACAGTTGCCATCTCCTGCTTTGGCCTGTCCAGGTCTCCTCTTCCTAGAGTAATGGCATTCTGGTTTGACTTTAGGGATCTACTTATGCCTAAGCCCTGATGGCACAATGGTTCTGTGTTGGGCTGCTAACCCCAAGGTCAGTAGTTCAAAGCCACCAGGTGCTCCTCAAGAGAAAGAGAAGGCTTTCTACCCTCTAAAAGGAGTTACAGTTTCGGAAAACCACAGGGGCAGTTCTACCCTGCCCTGTAGGGTTGTTATGAGTTGGGATCGACTACGTGGCACAGTGAGATTTTAGTCATGCTTCACTCTGTCCGTGGTTCTTGTGGAATGGACACAAGCCACTTCTGTGGTCAGCAGAACCCAGGCTGGCCTGGCCCAGTGCCACCAGGTAGCAGCCCGAGGGACACGTGACCCAAGTCAGGGCAATGAACATGAGCGCTGAGACTCGGCTCACGTTCAGTGTGTGGCGCTACACCACGGAGCTGTAGCCCTAAAGTGCCTGTGGCACCCCTTTTGCAGGCTTTTCGGGGACAACATTCAGAAGAATGACGTTAGCTCAGACAGAGGCAAGAGCAAGGAGGAGTCCTGAGGTCCCTGGGTTCTGCTGTGGCTGTTAGCTGTCACTGAGCAGATGCTGACTCACAGCGACCAGCAGACCGACTCCTCCAAGCGATCTTACTAGCGGCCCTCTCTTCCGTAATAATGATGGATGGGCCTGCACTTTTAACCTCTGGGTCAATAGTCAAATGCAAACCATTGGTTTGCCCCTAGGGGCCTTAACTGGATCTTACAGGGCCTGCCTGAAGCTGGGTCCCTGGGGGCTTACCAGCAGCTTGAGCCAACACACTTTGGAAGGGGACTTTGGTCCTGTGTTAAGAGGATGCTGACCAACGTCTGCTCATCTACAGTAAGGCAGAGGTAGCAGCCCATCATTAGGCTGTTTGAAGCTCCAAAGCGATTGGGGGAGCCCCTGGCTCCGGAGCTGCACGGTGCTGACCAGAGGACCCCCTCTGCCACCACCCGCGTCCACCCCCCTCCGCCGGCACCCAACTCACGCCCGTGATCTTCTTCTTGCACTTGGCACAGTTGGGTGCGTAGCGCACGTCATAGCAGGTAGGGCAGAAGATGGCGCCCTTCTCTTCGAAGAAGCCACCCTCCTCTAGAACCTTCCCGCACTGGTTGCACACAAATTCCTCGGGGTGGTACGCATGGCCCAGTGCCACCAGGTAGCGGCCCCTGAGGGAGGCAAGGGGCAGTGAGAGGGCGTCTTTGCCAATGAGGTGGGGCTCCTGGCTTATGGAGCACCCACTAGAAAGTCCTAGAGAGAGTGCATTCTCGCATTTTCCAAGTAGAAAGGACTGGGAAATGGCTTGTCCGAGATCACACAGTGGGGGAAGAAGGCCAGCAGGGGCCCAGCTCTGGCAGGCTGCACTGCTTTGATGGGAAATGAAAACACGGCAGTTGTAGGACAGGGAGGAGAGCCACTCCTGGTGGGAGTGTGGGCTCAAGTCTCCCAAGATGGACCTAAATGACAGGTCCCTGGGGGACACGGGCCTGAAATCGTCAGTGGGGACCTGAGCTGCCCTATCCCACTTGTGTGTGCCATCTAGCCTGGATGGAACCCAGGGGCTGCCTGGGGCTGAGGCCTACAGGTCCCAGAGCAATGGGGGTGCTGAAGGAGGGTGCTTTGCAGGACAGATGGGAGTTAAGAATCAAGCAGGGCTGAGGCCTGGGGAGGGTCTAGAACCTGGCTCTGATCAGTGGCCTGGGTGACTCCGCAAGGTTCTTTGGGGGGTGGGGTTCTCCAGCCTGTCCGTTCTGAGCGGCTGAGCGGCAGAGTGGTGGGGGTGGGGTCGGGGGGGCGCTCAGCAGGGCAAGCTCCTGTGCTTTCCAGAGCTGGATAAGACAGCAGCTTTGGCAGTACATCAGTGGTACTTTCCCCCATGGACAGACTTGGCAGAGGCTGGTGTTGAATGGGGGGCAGTGCAGGGAAGCCCCAGATCAGGTTCCCGCATCCCCTCCTGGCCAGGCACTGAGCCCTCTAGCAGTCTCCTCCAGCAGGGGGGCCTAGGCAGGCTGTGGGCAGATGGAGGGTAGAGGCAGGGAAGGCGGTGGGGCCAGGCGGGCTGGGGGAGCAAGGAGCCACCCACCGGATGACCTTGTGGCACTCGTGGCACACAGGCGTCCTGCCGTCGCTGCCACCGCCACCGCCGCCCCCTCCGGCGGCGGCCTGCACAATGGAGGTGCGGTTCTGCATCGGTGTGGGCGTGGCCGGCTGGCTGTGCCGGGTCAGCACCGTGCTCGTTTTGTCCGGGGCGTAGCGCTCGGCAAACGCGGGGTCCACGGCCCATGGCGGGCGGCTGGTGGGGCTGGGGGTGGTGGGGCCTGCCGGGGCCAAGGAGAGTGATTCCAGAGGAATGTCTAGGGACCCCAAAAGATAGAGGCAGTTTAGAGTGGCCTGCCACTCCCACCCCGAAGCCAGGAGCCACTGCCCCTTCCCTAGACCCAGCTCTCACTCACCAGGCCAGGGCTCATGAGTGGTAACTGAGGCTGGGGCTGGGGCTTCCGTCCTGGGTACCTGGCTGCAAGATCTGTGGTTCAAGGCCCTGCAGGGCTGAAGCTGGCATGCTCCCCCACCTCCCCACACCCAGTCTTGATGCTGCCGCTCCCTGGGAGACCCCTGGCTGAGGGAGAACTGCAGGGCTGGGCAGTTGAGACCACTCAGAGAGAGCTCTAGCTCCAGGGTGGCAGGGCGGCAAGTTCCTCCCTCCCACGGAGACCCAGAACAGAGCAGCAAGGCCCACGGTAAACTGGCACGGAGGAGCACCTCCAATGTAAACCAGACCCAGAGAGAGAGAAGGCAGAGGCAGAGAGAGCAGGGCCGAGAATGTTTATTTCCCAGCCCGGGCAGACAGGGGTGGCAGTGTCGCCCAGAACCAGGCTGGTGCTGGTGCTGGTGGGCTGCCAGGGCCAGGCCTGTGGGGGCTCAGTCCGTCCAGGGCCAGAAGAGGTGCCTGAGGTAGGCAGAAGCTGGAGGCGCCCGGGGTAGAGGAGGGGTGTCCTGGGCAGGAAGAACAGAGAGAGAGAGGCAGAGAGGACAGCAGGCCGGCGCAGGGCCAGGCTACGCCTGCACGTTGAGCGCGTGGGCAGAGCGCTGGTGGTGCCAGTCCCGCAGGCGGGTGTAGCGTGGGCTCTGCAGCTCCAGGACATACTTTTCCCTGAGAGAGAGAAGGGAGAGGAGGTAGAAAGAAGGAGAGAGAGAAGGGCGGGAGGAGGGGCCGGAGAAGGAGGGAGGGAGGGAGGGAAGGA